TAATGATGGCTCTCATCACCACAGAGGGGGGGAAAAAACGTGGCAGCTTGTTCTTATCACAGCTTGCCAGTCACACAGTTTAGGCAGCTGTCATCAACACAGTGTTGTCCAAGTGCAGCTCAAGATTTGGCAGGTGAAGGGAACACAGGTTACTACCATGCACATGCACATACACACGCACACACAGACACCACCAATCCATCATTCAATTGTGCAAATACTTATTCATACTCAGAGACACCTGTTAGTATTTAGGACTAGCATGAACGATCTGTGAAACATGTCCCTTTCTTTAGTGTTTTGTAAGCAACTAGTTGAAACTTCCATTAAATTCAGAATTTCTTTTTTAAGGAGGCGGCTGTCGATCTTTGCATTCGGTTTTATGCTATCCATCATTGCTCTTTTTGGAAATTGAAATCTTCGCCAGTAAATGGGGCAAAAATTCCTAAATCCTAATTTTAATTGATACTGTTGAAAATCTGCTGTCCCAGAATTGTGGGAATCTTACTTTTCTTAGGAAATAAAGAGGCAGAAAATAACTGTATATTAAAATTTTAGTCTTTGGCTAAATGTTAATAACTGGATATGTAAATTCAATATTATTTGACCTGTTCCTTCCTCCATACTGTTGCTACATGAGGGGAAATATCATTCCTTCTTCCCTGCCATTAGAATAGTCAGGACCTCTACATAAGCGTTGAAGTTTCTTCTCTAAACCTCTTTTTTTTTAAGTGAGTAAGAAACAGTTCCATGTCTCAGAATATCACTCCCAGATTCTACTCATCGTGGCAAATAAAGACCTTGCCGAGGGGCCACTTTTTGCACAATTGCACTGTGGTTTAGTGTGACCTAAGATAACCTACGTCAAAATCCCAAACCATACCAAGCCTTTAAAAAGAGGAAAGCCAGAACACCAGCTGCTGCGCAGCTTTGGCATATACCGCTAAGACAATGGAGTTGCTGTATTCAAATTCCCATAGAAACAACTGGGCCTTTTGCAGGATGGGGGGGGGGGGGCAGAAAAGAACACAGGCAGCTTCTGTTAATCCTGCATGCGAATGATTCCCGTAGACTAGAGAAACAGTGGCAGCAAGCCTGCCATTTCTGATGAAGAAAGTCATCCATAGTAGTTCATGGCACGAGGAGGTTGCAAAATTTCTGATTTTGTGAACTTTCACTCCAGTGGTCTGGGTTAGTTTTTCATTTTGTGGGAGATCAGGGAAAAAATTCAATGGACCATCTTTTTAAAATCATGTTCTAGGCCAGCATTCACCAACTGGTGGTCCGTGAGACAATTTTGGTGGTCCGCAGAAAAATCATTTGCATTTTTTATATTGCACTAAATACTATTTTGGAGAGATGTGCCAGCTCGGTGGTTAAGATGCTGGGCTTGTTGATCAGAAAGGTCAGTTCAGCGGTTCAAATCCCTAGTGCCGCATAACGGAGTGAGAGCCTATTACTTGTATCAGCTTCTGCCAATCTAGCAGTTCAAAATCACCTAAAAATGCAAGTAGAAAAATAGGAAGCACCTTTGGTGGGAAGGTAACAGCATTCCGTGCACCTTCAGTGTTTAGTCAGGCTGGCAATATGACCGCAGAGACCTCTTCAGACAGCGCTGGCTCTTCGGCTTTGAAATGGTGATGAACATTGCCCACTAGAATTGGGAACAACTAGCACATATGTGCAAGGGGAACTTTTACCTTTAAATACTATTTGTCTTTTTTTAAAAATCTGTATTTGTGGTCCATGGAATTTAAAATTATGAATTTAGTGGTCCAAAAGGTCGATGACCAATACAAGAGATCAGAAGCAACTGATGATCTATAGCAGAATTTTTCAAAGTTGTCAACTTTAAGATGTACGGACTTCACTTCCAGAATCCCGTTCTAGCATGGGAAATTTTGTGGGTTCCCCATTGCCAACACCTGTCAATGATGGCTAGGAAATTCTGGGAGTTGAAGTACACATATTTTAATGTCAATTTTTTCATGTTTGAAAAACACTGACCTACAGGAACCAACTCTCCTGTTGTGTTAGGATTATATCACTCTCAGAATTTTCAGCCACTATTCTATTCCGTTCAGGGAAATTCTGGGAGCCATAGTCCCAACCTATCTTGAGACTAGTTCATAGGCAGTTTGTTTGCAGCAGCACTAATACAAAATGAGTGTCCCATTTGTCCATCTCAAGAACTTGCATCATTAAAGCTTTAGGGTTCTTCACTTGTTCAAAGGAAGTCCTTTTTTATGCAGTATTTGAGGGGAAGGCCCTGACTTTTTTTGTACTATTAGAATTTTGAGAGTATATTGTGCGCTTTTACAAAATGGCTCCCATGGTTAGGGTGATTTCTTGCAAAATACTGATTAGAAGATAAACTGGCTTGCTGCCACCTCTTATTTATTGTATTGGCTACTACTCCCATTTACACCATCACTCCCAGTCCCAAGCTGCAACCATAGAACCAGTAACATCTGCAGATGAGGCAGAACATCTAGAACAGTATTATTATGATGTTGTAACACAAATTCTAGTCTTTGCGTGTATGTATTGTGGTTGTACACATATACAAAAAGATTGAAGCTACTGGTATGCTACCATGTGTCTGATTTCATCATCCTAATGAAAGTAGCAAATTCCTTCAGACCCTCATGAATCCATTTCATTCATTTTGTTTTATTTATTTATTTTATATTATTGTTAGTAGTAGTATTTACTCAGTTATATAGGATCCTGGTACTATATAATTTTAGTGCCAAATATTTAAAAATTAAATGTTAATGGTTATTATATCTGGGTTTTTTCCTTTGTGATGTTTTAATTGTATTTCATTTTATTATACGATGCCATGAGTTAGAATAATTTGGTGGCATCTATATCGATAATAAAGTAAAGAGGAATGCAGTGACTCAGTGGCTAAGATGCTGAGCTTGTACATCAGAAAAGTTGGCAATTTGGTGATTTGAATTTCTAGCGCCGCATAATGGAGTGAGCTCCCATTACTCGTACCAGCTTCTGCCAACCTATCAGTTCGAAAGCATGTAAAAATGCAAGTAGAAAATAAGGACCACTTTGGTGGGAAGGTTAGTGTTCTGTGTGCCTTCGGCGTTTTGTCATGCCGGCCACATGACCATGGAGACGTCTTCGGACAGCACTGGCTTTTCGGTTTTGAAGCGGAGATGAGCACTGCCCCTAGAGTTGAGAATGACTGGTACATATGTGTGAGGGGAACCTTTACCTTTATATCAATAATGCACGATCGTTATTTTGTCTTTTTAAAAAGTCATTAATACCCAAAGATATTATTGGGAATAAAGATGAAGCTAGTTGCTATTGTTCTGCTCCATGCCATTTATTTTTAATTAAAGAATCTTTTAAAAATTAGATTCTAGGAGCCAATAGTTCACAGAGCACCAAGAAAGATATCTGCAGCCACATTAGTATCGCACTGGAACCCAAGGAGCCATTAAATGTTGAAATAATTGTGAAAGCCTGCAGCTTAAATTTTCCCCACTCTTATGTACGGTAATCAAAAACAGTTTACAAATTTCTGCTCTGGATACACCAGGTCTTCACCAGAGTCCTTAGGACCAGCTGAATAATTGCTGCAGTAGGTGTGATACAGAAAGCTATCGGTTTCTGACTGAGCAAGGCTACCTCTAGTCTACAGAATGGTCATCTTCCTTTCCTGCTCTGCCTTTGTCGATACATTAGAAGAGGGTCAAACTCTCTGTAAGCAATCTTTCTAACTGCACAAAAAAAATATTTCATGCAATGTGTATTAATTTCTATCCTGACTTTTAGTTAAGAAACTCAAGGTAGCATATATGGCTGCCCATTTCCTCCACAAATACAACCCTATGGGGTGGGTTGAGCTTACTCTACTTCTTTTTTTCTGAGCTGACAGTCAGCAGCACTTATTTTGCTCCATTGATTTGGCCCAACTGATTGGTCCAACACAAGACTTCTTTAATGAAGTCTTGTGTTGTTCTCTCACATAGGCACATGCTCTGCCACATTCAATCCTGCTTGCCCAAGGAATTCATATGGGTCTAGTTCCAAACCTTTTAAAACATGTATTTTGCTTTTTAATGTCCCAAAGCAAGATAAAGAGACTTCAGTTGCCAACAATTTGAGGTAAGTTATTCCACTATAGTTACAACACCCACCTCAAAGAAATGCAACCCAAATCAAAAGATTTGATTTACAATGTTGGAGACATTTTACTACCTGTCGGCTATCCTTTTTTTCCTCTTTCCAGGAATAAAAAGCATTCCTTCAATCCTATCCCTCTGCATCACCACCACATGAAAGGAGATCATGAAACAGGAATGGGGACCAAGAAAAACTGATTCTTTTCTATGATGCAGCCATGGTCATGGCAGAGTCCCTAGTCTCCCGAACTAGGTAAAAAGGACTTATAGGTGCATTCAGGACAAGACCACAGCAGCTATTATTGAAAACAAAGGCTCCAGTGGAGACAATTTTTGAGCTTCTACCCTTGGTAGAAATAAGGAAAACCATCTCTTCCAAAAGAGCTATTTTCTTGCCAATTATCTCTGGTGATCTCTTTCAGAAATTTGCCAAGTAGTGAGGTGACCTATCAAATGTTTATGGAGTCCTCCAAGTCATGGTGGTCTCGAAGATGCTTTTTGAAAAGGCAACTGGACTTTCTTTGTTTTTTCTTTGAAGATGTTTCAAATCTCATCCAAGCAGCTTCTTCAGTTCTGACTGAATGGTGGAGAATGACTGCAGTCCTCATGGCACAACATTCTTGTGCCATGATGACTGCCAGGAATATGACTATAAATCCTTCCATTTTCCACCCCTCCAGTCAGAGCTGAAATGGCTTTTTGAATGAGAAGCAAAACATCTCCAAGGGAAAGTAAAATCCATCTGCCTTTTGAAAGAGCACTTTTGGGACAAAATGACTTGCCAGTTACTCAAGAGTGTCAAGTACCCTGAGAGCTATTTAGTTGCTGAAAACCTTCAGCCCTTTCCCCCTCCTCCCATCCTAATTGATCCAATTTTTCATCTAAAATGACCACCATTTCCTCTGACTCTTCTGTAATTCTTGTATTCCATGACTGCCCTCAAGCACGAGCACATGTATACATGTGCACACATGCTGTGGGCATGGACTGACTGACACACCCCACAGCAACCAAAGTGCCAGACACTTGGGGTGCCTGGACATCTACACATTTGAAACTAATTGTGAAATAATAACTCCTTAAGAAGATTTGAAGTATTTATCGCCCCCAGTGCTTCTTACAGGGAAGTGTTGATGTCTACTACCTGAGTATTTTTTTCTTGTTTTGTGCAACTGTGGGTCATCTAGATGCTTTTGCACTATGCTGAGCATTTGCAGTTTCAGGCAGATCCCTCCCAACTCAGCTTCCAGACAGGCCTTAGTTTGTTCTGACCTACATCCTGGTCAATGTGGCCCTCAATGCAAAGACCTTCCATTCCCAGTTACTACACAAAGTGATATGGACAGGCAGTGCTATATTTCAGCCCCTCTGCAGTTGTGCCCACCCTCACATCACCAAGCAGCTCTTGGCCCGGTCTTTGCGGATCTCAGAATCAGTCAATAAATCTGTCCGTCCAGGCATCTGCGTAATCCGCTTCAGTCCTCGCTTTGAGTTGCTGCGTTTGAGGTGCTTATGCATCCGATTGATTGAGGCCAGTGTGGTCACATGGAAAACATCCCGCACACTATTCTCTGACACCTTGGAAGAGCATTCTACATACGCCACAGCACCCAATTGCCGGGCCAGCATGCTGCCCTGTAAGGGGAAAACACATTGTTGCATTATGCCATAATTCACCCACAGCCTTTTGCTTTCTTCCACCCCCACCCCCCAACTTAGTTTGGTAATTGCTTATTACATTGCAACCACCTCCCTTTTCCTCCTCCACATTTTGGCAAGTACCTATCACTTCCCCAGACACGCTACTCCACATGTTTCTTTTAAATCACAGCTTTTAATTAATTTTAGTACTTTTCCTGGAAGGAAAGGATACAGGAGTGTCTTTTAAAAATGGAGCGAGAGGGACTGTGTCTAAAAGAGGGAGGGTGAGAAATATGCACGGATCTATGGACGCCAGGTGGGAAAAAAAGGTTAAAAACAAGTTAGCCCAGCTTCCCCTTTTGGAAGGTTGCAATTGGGATAAGGAGCAGAAGATTCTGCTGGTGGAATTAGCAGCGAAGGAGCTTCTAGCCCCAGCTGGGGCTCATATCAGGGTGTGGTTATTGTTTTTCCTCTTTCCTTTTTGCATCAATTATTTCAGGGAGCTTTTGAATGCACACTGGGCTTTGCTCATCCGCATAGACAGGACAAGGCAGATTGTAGTATGCCTTTAAAAAGCATCAAGACAAACTCAGGGAACAAACCAGCTCAGGCAAATACAAAATTCATCTAAAATTAAAGCTACCTCAGCTGGGAAGGGTACTTTTTCTTATTAGTAGTTTTTGGCCTGTGCATCTGCTTGCATCAGCGTGGATCACTTCTTTAGGCTATTTTAGGCTAGTTATTTACTTCTGAAAAGCAATTTTGTATATGTGCATAAAAGGAAAGGGGAAAAAACAATAAGAACATACATGCACATGGTTATCTGTCGGGAGGTCCAAGGAGGGCATGATTTCATGCAAGCATCACAGCTAGTGTCAGCTACGGTCGGGTCGGGTAGATTGTTAGATGTCATATGCAAATACAGGCCTCAAGTGACACCTGGTCCACAGACCCAAAAAAGATACTTGCAACCTGGTTACAGCTGCCCCCCCACCCCCTTGCAGTCATGTGATCATTTTAGGTGCTTAGCAACTGGCCCACATTTATGGCTGTTTGCTACATCTTGCAATCATGTGATCATGATTTACAATGTTATTTTCCAGAAACTTGTTTTTATTTCTGGTTTCCGGTAAGAAACACCCATTGAGGACAATGGCTTTGTCTAATGACCATAGCATTCCCTTATGACTACTGCATTCCCTTAAGAACCACTGCAAAAAAAGGTAGTAAAATTGGGCATAGTCATATGATACCTACTTAACACTGGCACAACTTATAAATATAAATGCTATTCGAGACTCCGTTTTGGTCATAAGTCAAGGACTACCTGTACATAATTATGGCATTTGCACAATTATATAAACATACAAATATCATTTTGGCATTAGCATGGTTTGTCAAAATGCTGTTAAAGTGCACACAGATTTGTAAATCATTAAGACAGAAAAGGGCTTGTTTTTTTCCTCTACATATACCGTATTTTTTGAACTATAAGACGCACCAGTGTATAAGACATACCAAGATTTTGAAGAGGTAAGTAAGAAAAAAAGTTTTTGCCCTCCCCGGCCCCCAGGAGCATTCTGCAGGCTTCAGTAGGAAAGGCAAAAATGCCCGTTGTTGCAAATACGGGCAGAAAATGGGCCATTTTTCACAAAAATAGAGGTGTTTTTGCCTTTCCCCAGCCCTGCTGAAGCCTGAAGATTACTGCCGGGGGCTGGGGAAAGGCAAAAAAACCCCTCTGTTTTTGTGGAAAATGGCCCATTTTTCACCTATTTTTTGGAGAAATGGGGGCATTTTTGCCTTCCCCCAGAGCCCCACTGAAGCCCCCAACTCCCAGAAGAATGCTGCTGGGGGCTGGGGGAAGGCAAAAACGCTTCTGTTTTTGCTTTCCCCCCAGCCCGTTTTTCGCAAAAATGGGATGCGAGGGCAGGGCTTCGGAAGACGCACCAAAATTTCCACACTCTTTTGGGGGGTGAAAGGTGCATCTTTAATTCAAAAAAATACGGTACCTATAGCTGATGCACCTTGGCCTCATGCTTACTTTAGCAAAATAAGCATGAGATGGGATCCAATGCAGCTCCTAGCGTCTCTTTAAAAGATGCAACTGGGGCTCAACCCTGCATGCTCCCACACTGAGGGATTTTGCCTCATTCTGAGCTTTACTATAGCTCAATATATTTAATTATATATTTAGAAGTTTAAAAAGGCCCTCAAGATAGAGAAGGGAAAGGGAAATAAAAAATGGGGGAAAGGGACACAATTAGAATGGAAGCACTGAAACACTAAAGCAGTAGAAATCCAAATCCAAATATGGAGTCAAATTAGAGCTGTAAAATATAAAACATGGATGAAAACTCAGCATCAATTAAAATCCATGCTTTAAGGCAAGATTAGGCTGCCCAAATTACAGGTAGTCCTTGACTTAAGACTGCAATTAAGACCAACATTTTGTTGTTAAGTGAGACATTTGTTAAGTGAATTTTTCTCCATTACATTTCTTACCAGTTGTTAAATGAATCACTGAAGTTGATAAGTAAGTAACCCCATTGTTAAATGAATCTGGCTTCCTCATTGACTTTGCTTGTCAGAAGGTCGCAAAAGATGATCACATGACCCCAGGGACTCTGTGACTATCATAAATGTGAACCAGGTGCCAAACGTCTGAATTTTGATCACATGACCATGGGGATGCTGCCAAGGTTGCAACTGTTAATCACATTATTCAGTGCCACTGTAACTTTGAACAGTCATTAAATGAACTGTTGTAGGTCAAGGACTACCTGTATTATTACTACTTAGCTAGGGGGGAAATTAATATTTGGCAATTCTTTCATAAAAAGTTGTTCCGTAGGGACACTACAAAAATGATCTGATCACTAATTAATCTTATTAGCAAACTTACATGGCTACTATCAGAATTGGCCCAGGTTAAGTCCAAAACTTCCTGTCATATATGTGGACGGGGATATGTGTGTCAGTTCTCTACAGCTTCACTCCCTTCCCCCCCATGGCAACAAACCGAGGCTTAACCAAGGCTAACACATACTTTAATTATAGACAAAATAAACACCTGCTCATGCGTAACAGGGATAAGGCGCTGTTTGGAGAGTTCCCGTAAAGTGTTCAAGTCTGTGCGCATGTCCAGTTTGCAGCCCACCAAAACTATTTTGGCACCAGGGCAGAATTCTTGTGTCTCTCCCTGCCACTATAAGAGAGAAAAATATAAAGAATTAAATTAAAAATGATTTAATATAATTAGGCAAGGCCATTGACTCAATTATCCCACCTCATGCCCATATCACACCTTTTCTTAATCCCATACCCATGTTTCCAACACAAAAATGGAGACACTAATGGTTAGACCTTTGTACAAGCAGCAGCAGAATGCAACTAATAACAATTTCTGTGATCCAAGATTCTGTACAAACACAGTCCTCAACATATGACAATAACAGAGACCAGAATTTCCATTGCTGAACAAGGCTATTGTTAAATGAGTCACGTCTAATGTTATGATCTTTTGTTGCCATTGTTCTTAAGCAAATCATTGCCATTAAGTGAAGGGTGCAGTCAAGAAGATCTGGCTTCCCCATTGGCTTGGCTTGTCACAAAGTGGTTGGGATGTTCACAAATGGCAATGACATGGCCCTGGGACACTGCAACCATTGTGAATACATGTCGATGCCAAATGCCAGAATTCTGATCCCATGACCAAGGGGATGCTGTGTCACTTGTGTCAGGACCAGTTGTAAGTCACTTTTTTCAGTGTTGTTTTAACTTTGGTAAGGGTCACTAAATGAGTGGCTATAAGGACTTACCTGTATCTGATGTAGAGAATCATCATTCTGGTCACGAGAAACATAAAAGTTGTCAACATGTGCAAAAACTGAGGATGCTTTTCTAAATTAGCATACAAGGTTTGAGGTAGAGACATGCTGTTTCCCTCAGTTTTTTCTTTAAATATACTGACATAACTCATTTTATTGTGCTTTGCTTTATTGAGATTCGAGTCTATATCATTTATCTATCTATCTATCTATCTATCTATCTATCTATCTATCTATCTATCTATCTATCTATCTATCTATCTATCTATCTATCTATCTATCTCAAATAAAGAGTTTATGGCAATCCTCATTAAGTGAATTTATCAGTGCTATTTTTCTAACAGCATTTTTTTCTATTCATATTTCTATAGACACATGTTGGTAATTTTGCAATATTTCAATTTTTCATAATTAATCAGATGTTTAGCATTTCTAGCAATAGACTATTTTTAAACTATAGTGATACAATTGCGATTTTGAAGGAAAGCTCCTCTTTGTCTCTAGGCAATATACAAACCTATTTTCCAAAAATAAAGAAGCTCTTCTTAGCTTTACCATCATATCTTTATATTCCCCTTTAATAGCACTTTCAGCAATCTCACCTTTTTAAGGATACTGTCCAGAGTTTCAGGACGGCTAATGTCAAAACAGATAAGAACAGCATCTGAATCTGGATAGGCAAGGGGGCGGACATTGTCATAGTATGTTGAGCCTGCATGAGAAAGACACAATTTTAACTTAATTATACGGCTCATATTAATATATTCTACAGCAGATAGGGTGGAGGTTTCTTTCAGCCTGAGCATCCCATTTTCTTAAAAGTTCCATGAATCACATGCCAGAAATGCAGGGTCAGAAATATCACACCTTCTCTCTCACCATCCCTGTTCATAGTCATTCATATTCTGATCTCCTTTGCCTGCCTTCTTCCCCATCTCTTCCTTTGTTATCCATTTTCTCTACATTTCATTTTATTCTATCTTCAGCTCCAGCTGTTTCTCTCTCCTTCCAGGTTGCTCCCTCAATCAAAATTTGAAATAAACACATACAAAACGCCATTGTGGCCATTACATAATCTTAGGTATCAAAATATGGATTTGAAGTTGAGAGTATTATATTCAGGAATATGAATGTTTGGCAACCTTAGCATCAGTGTGAGTGTGTGTGAGTATGTGCTCATGCTTGTGTGTGCGTGCGCATGCCTTCAAGTCAGTTTTTGAGTCTTGAGGACTGTCTAGAGTAGTTCCAGAAGTTTTATTGGCAAGATTTCAGATGTGGTTTGCCACTGTCTCCTTCTTAGGGCTGAGTCGTGCAGCTGCCTTTGCAGGACTAAAATTCAGTGTTTCTCAGTTTCTGGTCTGGTGTCTTCATCGTACCAAACTCCAGCATGATTTAACATCATTAGCTAAAATATTAGCAGTCTAGTTGATAGTAGAAATGCCAAAGCACTCAAGAAAAAGGCAACAAAATCCAGATTTTTACATATCCTCCTGAATGAAAGATGGCCCTTTTCACTTCCTGCCTAGGTCCTTTAAAAGGTTATGAAGGAAGAAAAGGTAGAAAAGGTCTTGAAAACTCCAGGCTTATGACAGGAATGAAGCTGGGAAGCTTCTTAAATTCTTACGTTTGTTGGATTATTTTGTACTTCTTCCTAGTTTCTCATTTCCCTTTCTACAATCAACATGCTAGGGGCTTAGATAAGAGCATTTTTGTTTCTGTAAAATGAGAACAGTCAGTTTGATGGGGTTGTGGGAGTATTGATAAAACATTATTAAATGCTCTGCAAATTCCAAGTGTCATTTAAATAATTTATAGTGTTCATAGACTGGATGACAGTGAAAAAGCAGCCTGTCTGTTTATAAAAGGGCAAAGAGCTCAAAATGGATTCATCACTTTCCCTTCAGCATACTGTACAGAAGAAATACTAACACATGCAGCAGGGGTCATAAATTAACTGATTGCAATTACGTAATCCACCGAGATGCAACCTATCAACAATACAAACTGCACACTCTTCTCAGATGCAGCCTAGAACATTAAGTGGAAACCTGACAAAGAGCCTCCACACTACCTAAAGAAATGCAGCCAGCTGAATTTTCCTGAAGCAATCAGGGGAAGTGGGAGCAAAAAAAATGACCCTCCCCAATCTAATTAAAAGATCTAGTACATTCACCATGTGGATGACTTCAGAGGAAAAAAAGAGAGGGAATCACAAATGTTGGCAGGCCCTATGTATTCAACTCAGATGTAATCACTGCCCCACACCAAGATCAGTATTTAGGGGGAGCCATTACGCTTTACTCAAATGGGTCTCTACTTGTCGCAGATGAGGTCAGTCACTAATGGCAGATGTGATGGCAGTCAGTGATGACAGATGTCTAACAGCATTAACATGGCAGCTAATGGCAGGTGGAACCAGATGTCATTAACAGATGGAGCCAAATATTTGGCAAAAGCGGGAATCATGACAGATGGGACAGCTTCAAAACTTGGAATGCAAATGAGAGTTGGGATGATATCTTGACCTATGCAGCCCAGATGCATTTGTTTTGTGGCTGAATTGCAATCCCCATTGTACAGAGATCATGAAAGTGACCAAGCTAAAGATAAAAGCAATATTTTCACTCTACTTGTACTTTCTCCAATAGCAACTGCACCAAAAAGCAAACTGAAACTATTGATCCCCCCCCCACAAGAATTATACTTAAAAATAATAATAATATGGGATAAGACAAGGATTGAGCTCATCCCAAGTCAGAATTGTTCAGTTAAAGATGATATTTTAAAATTAAAGCTGAAGAAGCTTCTTGGATGAGAAATGAAATGTCCTCAAGGGGGAAAAAAGCCTAGTTGCCTTTGGGGTGGGTGGGTGGGTGGGTGGGGAAGCACTTTTGGATAACCATAATCTGGATGATGGAGAATCTCCATAAACATCTTAAAATTAAATAATTTTAACAGTAGATGTTGTTAAGATTATAATGTTTTTCATGCTAAGACTTCCTATTTGGCCTGATCCTATGTAAAGATGATATTTTTGTATAATCTTTTGCTATATTTTATTCTTCCATAGTTACAGTGGATTTCTTAAAATTTGTACCTTTCTCAAACAACTGTTTTTGCTACATAATATCTATAAGATAAAGGATGCTGCTGGATAAAATAGATTACTGTCTACAAGAAATGAGAACGCACAACTTATATCAAATAGTCCATAGCAAGGCTCTTGAAGACAAGGGTGTTAAAATGGAATTTCATACAAAATATAAATTTGGCAGGAGTGGAGAGTTAGAATTAGATAGAATTGTTTAATATTGTTTTTTGCTCCACACAGCCTCCTTCATCTTATCAAAAATAACACCAGTATTGGTCCTCCCTCCTACCGGATATAATTTTTATCAACTGTGAAACAGAAAAGCTATATAAGCCATCACAACACCCACGGAAAGAAAGTTTAGAAGTTATTCTGCCTTGAAATGGATTCTTAAGATTTTCTGAGAATGAATTGCAATGCTTCTACAGAACCCAAGAATTCTGAATATCTCCATAATTTCTATTCAGCCTTTCTGCATTAAGGCACTTATGCATTTTGTTTTTATCAAATTGCCAGCCAAAATCTTATGTTTTTAATAAAATGATATCAAGAATGAACTAGTCAGTATGTCCTCTAAAAATAAATTGATAATAGTCTTCAAATCTGAATTATTAATTCCCAATTACTTCAATATTAAACTCTCATAAATCTGCATGATCTTTCCTGAAAATAAAAACATCAGGTATTTATAAATGTTGCTCTCCAACATGAATGTTTTGATCAAGGCTGCATAACACCCCTTCATCAACAGAACATTGTTCCCCTCAAGTGAAACAAACATTTCTTTGGCTAAGCGACAACTGCAAATAAGAAACAGAATTTTTCATCTAAAAGAAAAAAAAGAAAAGAAAAAAAAGACCAATGCTTGGCCTTTTAAAGCAAAGGAGCCAGGTATGTTCCTCTTTCACATGTATTATAATTAAAAAAGCAAAAGAATTGTGCATTTCCCATTACATTTTAGACAGATTAAATCATGTATGTTGGGTATTCAGGGTGGCTATAGAAGACAGTAATGTATCTTTCAACATAACCACTTGTACTTGCCACACTCTTATTTACCCCCTCCCTTTTTATAGGAATGTAAAAAGCAACCACATAAAAAAGGCAGAACCTCTGATGTGGGCACGGCTGCCATCTTGACTTCTTTTATGCTCCCTGCAATTGTCCTTACATACACACTAAATATAGATGTACTCTTACAGGGTATAGCTTATCCTTTTAAGATGTCAAGTTCAGAAGAATCTCATTTCAATATCTTACAAAAATTGCACTTACTAAAAAAAAAAGGCTCTCTAGTTTCCCAAATAGGGAATGCTATATAATGTTAAATAAAACTGGTAAGTAAGTTTTGATACATGAAAGCTCAGAACCAGTATTAGTACAATGTTTGAATTAAGCACGTATTTGGTACCAATTTAATCTGTTAATTTAAATGAATGCTATCATTCTCCAGGACCACTTAGCTTTCCTGTCCTTCTTTTCACCACTATCCATAATCTTCTTTATAGCCTAAAGGACAGAAATTTAATTTCTCATGCAGCGCATTTCCAGGATGCTAAATTAGCTATTTCACTAAGTCTAGTTTTAGAACCAAAGGATTAACATAGTGTTAATAGGCAGTTCTGGGAACTGTTAGCTTGATGGTTAAAAAGAGAGAAATTTGCAAGGCAGTGACTGAACAACTACATAAAGGAACTTTCAACTAGCAAAGAAACATCTAAGAGGAGGCAAAGGCAAAGGAGGAGAAAAGTTTACTTCTCTTCCTATATTCAACTAGTATTTTATCACTAGGTATTTTGGCAGGCAGGTGAGAGAGAGAGGTAAACGCCATGTTTAAAAGTCTTCCTACCTACCTTCCTTCCCTGTCTCCCTCCCATCCAGCTCTTTTTTAAGGGTATTAACACTCCAAAATCTCTACCTTAAAAAAGTGAAGTCTCCAAGTCAAGGTGGGATCCAGGCAATTTTTTGGCCTGTGATAGCCAAATTTAAGACTTCCCAGGACGCTCAATTGACAGGAATCTACAAGAAGGTTTTTCCCTATACAGCTGTATGTCATTATAGAAAAATTCACTTGTCAGTTTCTATTAGTAAGGCAGCTGTGTAGACAACTTTAGTAGACTTCCTCCCTCCCCATGAACAAAAGCAATAGAGGAATCACTTAGGCCAGAGGTCGTCAGACGTTAAGACTTGTGGACTTCAACTCCCAGAATTCTCCAGCCAGCTATGCCTCAGACCTCATAGAATATGCATTGTAGCACAATCCATCACAGCCAGTTCGTTGGATTTCAAAACTCATTCTGAGATTCCCCTAGTAATGTCATGGCAACCTTTCATGCAAGAAGACTTCCATTTATACCCAGAGAAAAACAACCAGGGAGAGGCCTTGTTAATATATGTTTGGCTAAATAATATTGTCCCTGTTCACTTACATTTTGTTTTTATAGCCCATCACAATGCAGGGTTGTCACTAGCAAAAGTGAACTCAACAAAAGTGAGAGTTGGTTTGTCACATAAACTTTTAGCTCCAGAAGATGAAGTCAAAGATAGGAAAGGGATCAAGAAATAAATGGGACATGCATGCCTGGTATCCAACTTTTCTTTCATTTTTTTTTTTTAATTTC